GGGCTGGCGCGGGGGCTGCGGGGCGGCCGCCGCTGTGCAAGAGGCACCCGCCCGATGCGGGGACGCTTGTTCTCAGCTGGCCGGCCGTCCGGCCGTCAGGGCGTCCGCGGAAGGCTGGGTGTGCGGCTCAATCCCGGGGCGGCATGCGCGGCTGGAGCTGGAAGCTGGGGCGCGCTCTCTGGTGGAGGCGCGGGGCTGAGCCCAGACAGGGGTCAGCGCTCCGGGGCCGGGGCGAGCGGCTGCAGCACAAACGCGTCACGGCCGCTCCGTCTGGGCGCCCGCCGGCTCATGTCTCCTCCTCCGTGTCTCTCCGGCAGTGCGCATCGCCGCCTCCCACCACTGGCGGCGGCCGGGGCGTTTTCTACGCGCGGGCGGCGAGGGGGCGGGGGGCCGGGGGCGGGCCCCGGCCAGAGCCGGCACAATGAGGATGCGGGGCCCGGGGGCTCCCCCCTCGGGGCGCGGCCGGACGGGCGCTCAGCTCGCCTGGGTGCGCCGCGCCCACATCAAAGGCGGCCCTGCCTGCTTGCCTGCCTGCCGCGGCCTCTCCACTGCCGCCGCCTCCTCCTCCTGGCCGCTCCGGGGTGGAGGGAGGCGCTCAGACTCCCCGCGATAGCACTGGCAGCTCCGAAGGGGCAGAGCCCCAGACGCTAGAGCTGGTGAGCGGTGGAAGCCGTCGGAGCTCTGTGCCGGGGCGCAAAGACTAGCGCCGCGGCGCGAACGCTGCGGGGATCGGGCTGGCGGCTGTCCCCAAGAACGCAGTTAGGCGCTGAGCGTCTTCACTCGCCCACAGTCACTACTCGCTCTCACTCACACCCACCAGCGCTTGAGAGGGAAGCGGGGAAGGGGCGGGTCAGGCCCAGCCCCCGGGGCGGCTCCATTTAAGGGGGGTCGCCTTTACTGCTCTGTGAATCTACTCAGGATCGTGGGGCTGTCCAGCCGCCCCCTCGGACCCTTGACCTCTCTTAAGTGAGCCCCTTTCCCTCTGTCTCCGTCCCTGCCGCCGGAGGTGGGCGGGGGGTGAGGGGGTTCTCCAGGGCGTCTTTCCGAACCACTCCCCGCCCCGCCCCACTCCTCTCCGGGGCTCTGGAGTCGGTTCTCGGGATCCCAACTGGGATCTCCAGTAGGCAAGACGGCTTTGGAAACGCACTGCTGCCACCTAGCGGTCTCCAGGGGTCCTGCAACCCCAGCCCTGGCGGACTACTCTCTCCGAGGAGCCAGCAGGACTCTGGTCAGCGACCACTCTAGACCCTCTTCTGGCCTCCTGGCTGAGATTTGCTTCCGTTTGCATGCTAATAAGCAGTTTGGCCTATTTTAACTAGGACCCCTCTTGAAGATATCTCTTCTTACCACTCCACCCCTTCAGACGTCTCTCCTGTGTTTTCCACAACTGTTTCAAAGCCTAGAGCCCCCACCAGCCAGGCTCTCTCTGTTTGGGTCTAATGCTAAGAGACACAGGGAAACAAGCTAAAAGAATAAGCTCAAAAAAGCAAAGTTCGGGAATCCAACCTGGTTTAAAAACCTCCTGTGTCATTGGCTGTGTTTGATATTCCCATTTCACTAGAGCAAAAGCAGAGACAGTTTCTAGCTGTGTTATTTCCTAGAGCCAGGACATAGGGAAATGCTGCAATTGTTCCAAATGCCAGTCCTCCCTGCAAGCTATTTTAAGGTCCCTTCCAAAGCCACGGCTATCTCAAACAGATGGCCTGTCTCCCCACTGGACACAAGTGCAGAAAACTTTCGAAACTAGGTGCTGAGTGATGGGAAAAGTTCTTGTGTGGAGTACTAGGCTTAATTTACTTAGACATTCTCTTCGCCAGAACTTGGCCTCACCAAGTCTTGGTGAAATCGAACCCATAGGATGCAAGGATTAACAAGAAATGGAAGGATATGCTCCCACTGAAGCCTACATCCTCACCACCACAGTCTGCCTGGCTTTATAGGAAGACCTCTGACACACAAGTCAAGGGGTAGGTTGGGCTTATCTCCTGCTAAAATGGTGTCTAATCACAGTGTCTCTTGATCCAAATCTAGACATTTTACCATGTTCTTCAAACTAGTTCCTTCAAATCTAGTTTTCACATGCTTACCACATACATGAATCTGAGTTCAATGTACACTTGACCAGTTCATATAGTGCTTAATATCAGCCACTACTGTGGTAGTGAGCTCTCATCAGTTCATTAAATCACTGATATCTTACTGTATGCCAGCTCCTGGGTGAAAAAGGATTAAGTCCCTGCTCTTAAAAAGCACTTCAGGGGCCTCCCTGTTGGCACCGGGTTTAAGTCTCAGCACTATGAATCTATCCACAGCCACTGCAGCCTAGGTTAAAGTCCCAGCCAGGGAGGTGACCCACATGGGGCAGCAGATCTCTTCTGTCCAGCCTGCTGTTCCCCTCAACAGTTTATTTTACTAGATCTGCCTCTTCTACTTCCCGCTCTTTCTCTGGTGAATCCTCTTACCCCCCACATCTCTGGCTAATACCTCAGTTCTTGTATGCATAAATAAATATATCTTTTTTTAAAAAGCACTTTCCTATTAGGGCAGATGGGAAATAGCAAATAAGGCAAAATACAAATCTTAGCTTATTAGTACTCTGAAGGAAACCAACGGGATGAGGTTTCTTAGTAATTCTTAGGGTAAGACCCAAAGATGGGAATACATAGGGGTATTCCAGGCAAAAGATGTGACATGCCTACAATTGGAATAAGCCTAGGTGATAGGCTAGGCACTAGCCAGGAGGAAGAGTGGCAGGAAATGAGGTTGAAAAGCAAATGCTTACCTGTTGCCTTGTAGGCCTATCAGAGGCAGATAAGTTAGCCATCAAAGACTTTTTGTTAAGGTAATATCTAGGTAATTTTTAAAAGCATCCATTTCAAGTGTGCTCGAACTGCTCTTGACAAATGATTATATTTATGTAAACACTTTCTCTCAGGCAACTTCCTCACATCCCTCACTGTTCTAAGCTACCATAAATCAGATGGCATTACTGTAGTTTCACATAAATGGAAGCACAGTATGTGTTTCTACTTATGCTAACATTTTTGAGATTCGTCTCCATCCACTGTTGCTTTGACCAGTACGGTTGGAGTCACCTTTGTGTTAGGAGATTAAGCTCACCATTATCTGGGCAGATTCTTGTAAAACCCCTGGTTGTCTTAAGGAGAGCTGAGAATGAATGTGAACTGCCAGCCCACGGGAATGTAAGCCTGCAGTGCTGTTGACTGTTTTGCTGACGGATCCTAAGCACTCAGAACTTTGGGACACAGTACATATTTAGGTACTTGGGTTCCTTCCTATCCTCTTTTCAAAAGTGCAAGTAAACTAACAGCATCACAACTGATGCTTGTTTTTCACATCTTTTCAGTCAAGACTCTCCAGGCAGAGTCTATACGATAGATATTTGAGAGAGCAAAGTGGGAGCACCTCCAGCCTACAAGCAGTTTAGTAAGAAAAGTAGACTGTTAGCAGTTGAGGCTCTAAAACATTCTCAAAAACCAGCTCTTGGAACTTTCACAGCATTAAAACAATCTCTCTTGCCAAGTTCATGAGTCAGGGAACTGGCTCTTTGGTGCTAAAAGTTAGTCTTAAAACTTCCTAAAATAATGTTGGCCCTTTATCTCAAGAGCCCAAACTACTTAATACCTTTGATTAATTAGGTTCTGTATAGATGACCCTCAACATTTCTTGCATCAATTTCAAACAAAAGCCTCTCACCCTAAACAATACCTCATTGAGCTGGTAGTTTTCAGTAGCTCCCACAAGTTTTGTAATACAGCGCCTAACCTTCATGCTATCACTCATCATTTGCACAGTCGAGACTAGACTTTCATTCTCTAGTGAAACTGAAGGTAACAACTGTAGAGAATTCTCACCCATGACCTAAACCTTCCATAATGAAGTTATTAAATAAGGGCTCTCTGAACTCATCCAGTAAGTGCAGTATTTCAAGTGTCCTTAAAATATCCCCCCTTGATTTTTTTTAAAGAGCCTGATCTAATCATCTATAAAGTCAGTTAAACAACACCCCAGTATTAGTAGGGCTCCCACCCAGGCTTCCACCCATAGCTCCTTGGGGAAATGGATTGTCCTATTTCTGATGAAGAAAATCAACAAGATGAATCTGGAACATTTTGTTGCACTAGAAAATAAGCTATCAAAGACTTGGAGCTGTGATGGGCTAAGTAAACATGAAGGAGATTCATGAACTAAAAGATAGGACCATGTAGTAATCCAAAATGCATATAAAATCTGAATTGCCGGTATTTAAACTCATTGGTTTACTTTCCTAGAGGTTGCTAGGATGTCCTGAAAATTGGTAAATAAAAATTTAACACTCCAGCCAAACAAAATGCCTACAGAATCATGAATGGTATTGCTGAGAACTATCTTAGGAAACAGTTATCCCATCAGTGAAGTAATTTAAAATGATAAACCCCAACAGACAAAAAAAGTATTTACAGCTTTTCTACTTTAAATCCTGAAAAATTAGTGCTAGGAACGAAGGAAAAGCAACTGTTTTTCCTTATTGGTCTTAAGTCAACCTCAAAAGTGCTTTGGAGAAATAAAATTTTCAATGTTTTCAACAATTAGCACCTTAATTGTCATTTTCTAAAAGATTAATGCTTATGAGAACTGGGGCACAGGCCAGAAATGTGGGCACTGAGGATTCGCCAGAGACAGCGTGGAACAGAACAGTCGGATCGACTGAAATACACTGCTGAGGGGAGCAGCAGGTAGGACTTAAGAGGTCTGCTGGGTCATGTGGGTCACCTCTCTGGCTGGGGATCCAACTC